GCCAAAACCAAAAACCTATTTATTATAAGGGAGGAAAATTATATTGTGAACCATTGGCTACATTGCAATATGGATAATATATAAATGCTTATTTTTAGTATATATTTTTGAGATTCATTTTTAATACATTGCTGAAAGTTATAGAATTTCCGACCACTTGAACGTGATCTTAAATCAAGTCGAAAGCCTTGTTCCGATCACTTTTGGTATCCGAAAAAACCTTTGTTGCTATTTCCGACCACTTTTTACTTTTGACTTGATTTAAGATCACTTTCAAGTGGTCAGAAATTCCATAATTTCAAGCAGTGATATACTAAAAGTTCATTTATTAGGTACTATACCAAATAATAAACTTTTAATACATAAAAAATAAATATTCAATGTATTAAAAATGAATTTTCAGTATACAAAAAATGAATTTTAAGTTAGTGATTCACTTTTCAAGATGAATCATGGTCCATGATATAATGATTGTATAATAAGGCCGGGACTGTAAATAATGTAGCTTTCTTCAGGATTCCATATTAAAATATAGGACGTACTAGGTCAAATAAACATTTTAATATTTTTAAAATGTAATTTCACACTAGAATAAAAAAAATAATATATACTTGAACAACAACAACAACAACAACAACAATAATAATAATTATTATTGGACCTTTTCACCGGTTGTACTAGGTTGCTGGCCAGCTTACTACATGACATCCAAATAAGCCTCCAAAGTATTTGATAAATGATAGAGTCATTCTAGTTGAAAGTTTGCTTATGTGGCATTTTCAAATAATAACAATAACAACAATAATAATTTGAATTAAAGATCAAGGAGCAACCATGGGAGTTGTAGCAAGGTCATCCATGTAGGTGGGTTATAACAATACTAATTAAATTCCTAATATTATACTACATTAAAATAACTAATTAAAATAACTAGGTATTTAGCTATGAATTAAATAGTTACAGTTCGAATACCTACCAATTTTAATATTTTAGCCACGGAAATCCTTTGATAAATTAAGGGGGTGTTTGGTTCGTAAATGGAAATCGGAATGAGAATGGAATTTAATATTTGGTAATGGTAATGGATTTTGGTGAAAGTATTTTGCATGTTTGGTAGTAGGGTGAAATTGGAATGATTAACAATATTGTTGTTTGGTTATGCATGATCCTATAATGGGAATAAATGTTTAAAAATACAAGAACAAAAAATCAACACAATTATTCTAATATAAAGACATCCAAATAAAGCACCAAACAAAAAGAATAAAAATAAAAATCTAAAAGCATTAATCCAAACTTAAAAATCAAATTACCAATTATGAGGGGGAATAATGGAATGAAACCCTTATATTTTATTATGGAATGTGTTTTGTAATTAAGGGGTAATCAAATTCCATAGTAGTGCTCTAAAAATCTGTCAACCAAACAATAACAATGACTCTGATTCGATAGCTAAGCTCATGAACCAAACACACCCTAAATATATCTATGAATTTCAGTTATATTAGTATTATTGACTAAATTATTTTGACAAAAATATCATCAAAATAGGAACTTGTTTTTGTTCCCTTGTAACATGAATGCATTGCAAGAATGTTTTTTAATAATAATAAAAAAAAAGTTTTTCTTATCAAGAAGGATTTAAGATCTCGAGTTCAACAAAGATTGTGAATAAAGAAGTTCATTGGCTTATTTAAAAAGAGAGGTTCAACAAAGCATCGGGCAGAATTGGTAATCACTAATCAGCATCAAGTAAGGGACACCTTTAAAAGCTTGAGAGAATTCCTTTATATTGTAATTTATTGCAAGTCTCAAGCAATTATTTCATTCTTCTTCATAATCTTTTATTGGGTTGAACACTCTATATAAGTGATACACAAGATAGAGAAATCATGTGAAATTTAATTATATTTATCATTAGGTTAGGATTACAATTGTATGTGAGTTTCTACAATTGTGTAATTAAATTTTGCATCTTAAATTTGTCATAGTAAATTTGGCTATCATGTTAAGGTGTTTGCCCCACAAAGTAGGAAATTTTTTGTACTTGCGTTAAATAATGTGTTTTCTTAATTTCTATGATTTAGTTTTTGTGTCTTGTTTGTCCCTATTTTTGTTTCTCACTATTTGTGCCGGTATTGGAACTTATGTTGGAACAAACACAAAAATCTTGAGCGTAATTCTTTATTTGAGTGTATTTTCATGGTTTAAAACATGTCTAAAATTTTACAAGTAAATTACTAATAGAGACGGACGGACAATCATGTCATTATATATTTTATTGGTCTAAATTATGTCAAAAATCTTATCAATCACTCATTACTCCTGCTCTAGAGACTAGTGGAGGATCATGCCGTTATATATTATTGAGTATCATGCATGACCCTTGGCGTATGATTATTTTTTAATTAGGGTAAAATTAAATTACTAGTAAATCTCTTTTAAAGATTATTTAAGAGGTATTGTTCCACTTATCGTGTTGAACTCGATCAAAACTTTAAAAACTCATCAATATTTTATTGGACCATGCTACAAAGTTAATTAAAATTAAAATTTTAAAAATAATGATAAAAAATTATTGTCTAGCATTTTGTCAGTTGTCACAACATTGTGAGTTGCAATTTTAGGGGTGCGTATAATTTTTCTATTTTGCTCTTGATTACTCTCTCATATACACATATTTAACAACAGTAAACTTTTAGTTTTTCAATGTAAGTATTTTTATAATAAAATTATTGAATAACTCAATTCTTTCTTACCAAAATGTTAGTATAGTTATTTGTGGGATCAAATTTGATTGATTGATGACATTTGCGCTGACAATATCCTAGTGAAACTTTACATTTGTAGCTTATAAGGATGTCACATTGTATCAATGCCACACAATAAACAATTGTCTGCCTGTTTTTTTTTTTGGCTTATAGTTCTAATTGGCCAAGACCTGGCTGCTAACCTCCAAGAAGGTCTCTTTAATTAACAGAGAATTAAACTTTGCATTTGTACATAAAGAAATAGAATAAATTCCATCGGCTTCTCCGGCATTGATTGTCAATATTCTTTGTGTTTTACTATATGGAGTGTTCACTTGATGTAATTGAACTGGCTTGGAATTGGAATATAAAAGTTGATATATAGTCTATTCATGTCACTTCATTTTAAGTGGAGTAAGTTCATTTATAAATAGTTAACACATACACCTTTGCGTGTGAATGAGATGACGCACGTTTTCTTCAATTTAACCTACACGAACAAGATTAGTTTTAGTTTCGGTATCTAGTTTTAGTTGATTGGTCGAGAAAACCTGTGGTCAGACAAAAAAATATTGAAAAGTATAAAAATATTAGTTAAATATTGCACATTGTGTGATTGAATAAATGTTACTGAGAAAAAAATAGTAAGTTATAAAGAAAAAAAAAAAGATAATAGACTTAATTAATAATATATCATGAACAAAGAAGAAATGTTAAATTGAAATTTCTTATTATAACGGTATAAAATAAATAAATAAACGCAATGCACAAGTTATTATATTTAACGGTGTCAAAAGTTTAAATGGGAAAAGAAAAAAGAAATTTTTTAAAATTAGATAGAACTTGTGCGTGTAAATATAATTAAAGTATAACACAAGCAAACATTGCATATAACTTATTACACAACACATTTTCTTTTAATGTTAAAATCTTACAATAATTGACTTTCTTATAATTTTATATTTTAAATTATAACAATAAGTAATGTTAGATAGTGTAAAAAGTTCAGCCAAAAGAGTGGTTCTCCTATCTCTTTTTATGTCTAGTATATTATTTATTGATTGAATTAATTTTTTTAATTAATTTTTTAATAATTTATAGTTTTAAATTTAATTTTTTTTTGTATATAATAAAACTTTTAATGTAATTTTTAAATACATAAAACTTATTCACTAACATTAAATCAAATATTACAAACAATTAAATGGCTACTAACATCAATCAAACCTTGTAATCGTTTTATGGCTCACATTTAGAGACAAAAGAGAATAGTTGGCTTTAAAAAATGAGGTGCAGTGGCCTAAGTGTAATTGTTGAAACCGTGGGGGTCTAAGTGAAATTATAAAATTAAATCTCATCTATAAAAAGCCTCAAGTTTGAACACCATATATCTTCACTTCTCAATGGCTTTCTGCATTGGCAGCAACATTATGGAGGCTAAACACTTTCTCTTCTTCTTGTTTACAACATTTTCACTAGCCACAGCGACCACCAACTCAAAGGTATATGTATTATGGGTTTTCTCTAAAGTATCAATCAGTATCAGTATCGAGTTATACATGCTTCAGTAATGTAAACATACCTGATATAGTTATACCGAGTACTATTAAGATTAATGGTTGTATCGAGTACAATTTGACACCATAGGATTTCTTATGTATTGTACTTAGAAAACAACCTAGCAGGGTATTAGCAAGAGAAACTCGATTTTCTTAGTAACCACAAGATTACAAGTTCGACTCCCAACAAGAGCAGCCTATTGGCCTTCTTAGTTTGAGTCGATCAACTATGAACAATCTAAGTTGGTTTAAATTTAAATTATAGCATCGTGAATGAAGAAACAACGGAAGATGAGGCCTGGGTGAAGTCCGCCTTGTGACTTTAACTAGCAAAAGACCACAAGGAAGTAAACGAGTCTAGGTTGTCTATAGTTGACAGACTCAAACCAAGAAGGTTAATAGACAACTCCCACGAAGAATCAAACATGAAACATTGTGGTTATCAAACCAACTATCTGACCAATTTGACTGAAGTTGCCACTTAATCAAATTCCAATCACTACAATATGACAGATACATGCATGTAATTGTTTGTGTTCTTTTTTATGACTATGATGTCTGACAGGTTATTAATCTTGCAGCATTACATTGTTTACTTGGGGCATCACTCACACCACAGCTCAGAGTCTGCAATCACAGCTAACCATGAAATTCTTGCTTCAGTTAAAGGAAGGCATGGACATTGAACCCTCTTTTTTTTTTTTTCTCAACTGAAGATACCAATATACATGTGTTTTGATGAGCTAAGTGAAGAAAAGTTTGTTGAATTCAACTGGTTTCAGCTATGAAGAGGCAAAAGACGCGGTGCGCCACCATTATACAAAAAGCTTTAGAGGTTTTTCTGCTATGCTAACACCACACCAGGCTCAAAAGCTTGCAGGTATTCAACAAATGCATAAATTGAGCACAGACAAATGCCTTAGTTCACTGAGATTCAGGAAAAGAAAATTTTGTTTTTGCTTTTGTTTTTGCTGCAGAAAGGGATTCGGTTGTGTCTGTGTTTGAAAGTAGAACTAGAAGGACTCACACGACTCGTTCATGGAGATTTCTCGGGGTAGGCTATGGTGAAGAGCACAATCAAGTGCAAATGAATATTTCTACAGACATAATCGTTGGCATCATTGACTCAGGTAAAGATTCGGTTATAGTTGTCTGATAAGGTAATTCTTAGTACTTCAGTGAAACCAAAGTTTGTGTTCACTTACAGGAATTTGGCCTGAATCGAAGAGCTTCAACGATTATGGATTAGGTCCCGTTCCTAAAAGATTCACAGGAGAATGTATAACGGGCCAGAATTTCACATCCTCCAACTGCAATAGGTAGCTTGTTGAGCATATAACCATTAATGTGCAATCCAACTATTAGCTTAAGCTTTTAGTTGAGATGGAGCACATGCTTCAATTTAGCTGAAAACAGTAAAAGAAAGAAACAGAAAAAATGCAAAAACAATGGATAATGATGTTATTATAACTCGAATTTGCAGAAAAATAGTCGGAGCTAGGTTCTATTCAGCAGGATATGAGGCAGAGAATGGACCTCTGGAATCATTCAACCTTACCTTTTTCCGATCAGCTCGAGATAACGATGGCCATGGTACCCACATCGCATCCACGATCGCTGGAGCCATGGTTTCCAACGCCAGCTTCTTCGGGATAGGAGAAGGCACTGCAAGAGGAGGAGCCCCGGGGGCGAGACTGGCAATATACAAGGCGTGCTGGTTCGACCTGTGCAGCGATGCAGATATTCTTGCTGCCATGGACGACGCAATTCATGATGGTGTAGATATCTTCTCGCTTTCCTTTGGAGCCGATCCACCCCAGCCCATCTACTTCGAAGACGTTGTATCTATTGGCACTTTCCACGCATTCCAGAAAGGCGTTTTCGTTTCTGCATCCGCTGGGAACTCCTTCTTACCAAGTACTGCAGCAAATGTTGCCCCGTGGATACTCACTGTCGCTGCAAGCACAATAGACCGCGATTTACAGACCTTCCTCCAGCTCGGGAATTCAACACTAATCAAGGTAGTTATGATGAAAGAATTATTTATTATCCGGAATATATACACACACAAACACAAACACACATATATCTTGTTTGTATAGGGTATCAGCGCAAATCCTTCAACCTTGGAGAGGTATTACAGTTTAATAGCCGGGAGTGCAGCTGCAGCCCCTGGAATCCCACCTGAAAATGCGAGGTATATCCCATATTTTCACTACTAGAAATTATTGAATTTCCGACCACCTGAAAGTGATCTTAAATCAAGTCGAAAGCAAAAAGTGGTCGGAAATAGCAACAAAGGTTCTTCCGGATACCAAAAGTGGCCGGAACAAGACTTTCGACTTGATTTAAAATCACTTTCAGGTGGTCGGAAATTCCATAATTTCCAGTAGCGTATAAACCTTAACCTTATACTCCATAAGTTTTCTTGATTCTTAAAATTCTCGAACAATTAATTGTCTTTTTTTTCCTTTTTCAGCTTTTGCAAGGCGAGTACCCTTGACCCTAAGCTAATAACCGGAAAGATTGTAGTCTGCAAACTTGAAGTGATTTCTGATAGCCGAAGAGCAAAAGGTTCAATCGTAAAACAAGGTGGTGGTGTAGGATTCATACTAATCGATCCATTCATCAACGATGTTGCTTTTGAGTTCGAAATTCCAGGCGTTGTGATCAACCAAGAAGAAGCAAACGAGCTTCAATCATACATGACAAAAGAAAAGTGAGTTCCAGGTTTCTTTAACATCGAAAGAAAATCAGCATTTCTGAATTCTAAAAGCTAAAAACACAACGAAATTCTTTGCTTGTTGCAGGAATCCCGTGGCTAAAATATTCAAAACAAGGACAGTTCTTTTTACTAAGCCAGCACCAAAAATAGCGTCGTTCTCATCAATGGGACCAAATTCCATCACACCAGATATAATTAAAGTCTGTTTCAATCTTTTTTTATCAATCTTTACATTTCCTGATAAACTATCCTCATGTTCATCCACTACTGGAAATTATGGATTTTCCGACCACCTGGGAAAGTGATCTTAAATCAAGTCGAAAGCCTTGTTCCGACCACTTTTGGTATCCGAAAAAACCTTTGTTGCTATTTCTGATAACTTTTTTCTTTCGACTTGATTTAAGATCACTTTCAGGTGGTCGAAAATTCCATAATTTCCAGCATTGATCGAATAAAAACATTAAAAAGGAGATCTCTATTTTCACTGGATACTATATCCTAGTTTAACCAATAATATAACATTCAGCAAATAAAGGCAGTGAAAGAAGATAGATTTGTATTCTCAAAGATTAGCATATGATTGTCTACCTGACAACGCTTTTTTTTTTCTTTTTTTTTTTTTTTTGCAGCCTGACATAGCGGCACCTGGAGTGAACATCTTGGCTGCATGGTCTCCTGTGGCTACAGATATCTCAGGCGGGAAATCATTAGATTATAACATAATCTCCGGGACTTCCATGGCTTGTCCACACGCTTCAGCAATCGCAGCTATCATAAAGTCGTATCATCCCTCATGGAGCCCAGCAGCGATAAAGTCTGCAATCATGACAACAGGTTAAAATTTTAACCACAGATGTTATGATTATGAACATGTTTGGTAATGTTTCTGTTAATTATTCGATACTGTTCTTGTGAAACAGCTACAAGTCTAGATAACACACAATCCCAGATCATCAGAAACCCAAAGGGCACTCTAGCCTCGCCTTTCGACTATGGATCGGGGCAAATAAACCCAGTTGCAGCTATTGACCCAGGGTTAGTTTATGATTTCGATCAAAACGACATTATTGCATTCCTCTGCAGCATTGGTGGAAGCCCCGCTCAACTTAAAAATGTCACCGGAGAAGTAGTTCATTGCAACAGCACTCTGGCAGCACCCTATGATTTGAACTACCCATCCATTGGAGTCTCGAAGATGAATGGAGCAATAACGGTGCAAAGAAGAGTAACTTACTATGGTAATGGCCCAACTGTCTATAACGCACAAGTAAACTACCCAGATGGTGTAAACGTTTCAGTAACTCCTAAGGTGCTCAGTTTTGCGAGGACTGGTGAGATAAAAGCATTCACGGTAACTTTCACACCATACAGAACTAGTAATGGGAAGTTTGTGTTTGGGGCTTTGGTATGGAGTAATGGAATCCACAAGGTAAAAAGTCCCATTGGCCTTAATGTACTTTCTCTGTAAGAGAGACACTAATATAATGCTGTAATGTACTTGAGTTTCAGATCAATGAATTTAAACAATGCCAGATGGAGCCTTTTCATAACCAATTGATCTAATACCCTTTTTTTTTTGAATGCAAATTAAACAACATAGAGAATTCTATATTCTTGATCTCCCTTGAGGAGATGAACACGCCACTTAGACACCAAACAATTATCAAATCTCAACACCACAACCACAAATGTCTATAAAAGAAAAAATCACATGTATTATCATATTACTTGTTTCTCTAAAATGGCATTCTGAAAAGCTACCATCGGGGTGACCCTAACCAAGTTAGTCAACCTATTGATTTGGTAATCACAAAGTTATAAATTGACTCTTGGGAGCAGCCTACTGGCCTTCTTGGTTTGAGCCAATCAGCTATGGACAACCTAAGCTAGTTTACCTGTGATCCTTTTTCTGCTAGGATCACAAGGCAGGATTTACCCAATGCACACATTGTGGCTGCGGTTTCCCTCGTCTCCCACAATAAAAAATAAAATAAAAATAAAATAAAATAAAATAAAGCTCTGGAATTTTAGTAACCACTCTATCAAGCTTCAGATCAAACCATAAGAAGCATTTAGTGACTGTTAGAATTATAAACAATTAGCCATGTTAGGTTCAGATCCTTAATGTGTTAGTAAATGATTTTCAGTGTTTTTTTGCTTTTTTCCCATTAAGATCATTAAGCTCAACTTCCTTCTTAGGCTGGAATGGAAAGGGTCCATCCGAAATTCTGAAATTAAGATGGAAATGGAACATTGAAGATGAAATGGACTTCAAATTTCTTGTTCCATCCGTTTTTAAGCAGTAAGGGTCAAAAAAGATTCAAATTTTAATAAGGGGAAACAAGAAAACAATGATTCTTGCAAACCCAGAAATAATTACTCCACAAAGATAAAACAAGATTTCTCATCTCTCTTCATCAACACAAACATGGCAAGATGTATACAAAAAGATGATGCATAATAATCACTTACCGTAGTGCAATGCGAGCTTAGCCGACAGGTAGTCAGGTACTCATCAAATAGATTCTACTTTTGTGGTGGGAAAGACTCCTTTTCCCTTTTCAACCCAACAATCAACCTTCAGAATTTCATCAACCGTTAATGTTACTCTGTGTGTGTGCGTGTTTTTTTTTTTTTTTTTTTTTTTTTTTAATTATTATAACTTTAAGATATATTATTGTCTAATTGATTGATAAAGTTTTGAGAGAGTTGTTAATTATTGTAAATTAGGTTTGATTAGTTTATGTTTTGTATACTAGTTTTTTACGTGCATTGCGCGATTGGGATAATGCCTAATATTTTTTTTAAATAAGTACTTTAAAGTATATCAACGGAAGGTGGTGATGGGGTAGTAGAGGGTGATGAGGAGGAGGAGGAAGAGACTTGGAGGATTGTTGGGCGGTTTTTGACACAGAAGATGGTAAAATTGGACTTTATGAGGCAAGTTCTGGCATCTGTGTGGCAGCCGGTACGTGGAGTACAGGTAACGGAGATTCAAAGGGGTTTATTCTTGTTTGTGTTTTTCCATAAGACGGATGTGGAATATGTGCTGAATGGAGGACCCTGGGCCTTTGAGAATAATGCTTTGGTGTGTCGGGAGGTGTTAGATGGGGTGAATCCTGTGGATGTAGAGCTGGATATGATTGACATGTGGGTACAGTTGCATGACATGCCAAAGGGATACACGTCGCATGCAATTCTGGAGCAGGCAGGAAATTTTTTGGGCTCTTTTGTTAAACATGATGCCCGGTTTGAGGGGGCGCCATGGCTAACGTTTCATCGTATTAGGGTGTCAATTTCGGTTGATAGGCCGCTTAGGAGGAGGATGAGGTTGATGAAGAGAGATGGGACTACAACATGGGTAAATTTTAGATATGAACGGCTGCATAAGTTTTGCTATTTTTGTGGCTGTATGGGTCACTTGCATACTTTCTGCATACACGCTAGGGAGGCTGGAATTCCGGTCGAAAGGTACATGTACGGTCCGGATTTGCGAGCTGGTGGATCCCGGAGCGCTCCTAGAGCGGTTGGGGATAACTGGCTTGTTCCGGTAGGCGGGAAACCACGACCACTGGGAGTCAAGCCACGTGTGGTGGATGGGGGACAGGGAAGCGGGGGTGTCACACCCACAAGTATGTCTGAGGATGAGGTGGTGGTGGCTACGGCAAAGCGTCGTAGGCATGGAACGGAGGGGGGAGAGGATAGTGGAAACGATGAGGTACCAATCGCAGCTGTTTCAAAAAACTTGTCCATGGCGGGAGCTGGTGTCCAGCCCCGCACATCATCATGAGTACTCTGAGCTGGAACTGTCGTGGCTTGGGCAATCCACCCACAGTTCGACAGATTGTGGGCCTTGCGTCCAATAAGAAGCCTAATTTTGTGTTCTTGATGGAGACCAAGGTACCACGGATACATGCAGAA